GATAAGATAAGATAAGATAAGATAAGATAAGATAAGATAAATCCAACCTCTGTTGTTGTCAACTAGGGCTCTGTGTCAAAGCAGGTTCAGCTCATCTAAAGTTTCTTTAGATCCACCTCAACTGATTCTGACAATGTAGAGTCTCAGTGATACTGTATTACAAAGCTTGACATCAGTTTGATAAGTCAACTCAGGATTCTAGACTTTGAACTGGTGTCTTTTCATGTGAAGCATCTAGAGCTGAACTCAGAAGGGAAGTCGCACAAAAAAAGTAAAAGCCGTAAAATACCAGATGAAATCAAATTTATTTGTAAAGTATATTTAAAAACAACTATCGTTGGCCAAGGTGCTACACATAAGACAATATGAACACAGGAGACCATAAAACTATCAAAAATAAAGACTAAAACACAAAAATTAAAACCAATAAAGGAAGCAAAAATGTAAACTCTCTTGTTATAAAGCTAGTGAGTCCAAATATTTTTAAGAAATATACATTAATAAGAAAAAAATATATCCCTTACACTGCAAACATTTTAGTATCTGCATTTATTTGCTGATTACTTTTGTATATTTAATTAAATTAAACGATTCCATTCCAAAGCTACAGGTGCCACCTGTTATTGAGACATTAGAGAAAGTTTATCAAAAACAATCTTAACTATTTGAGGAACAAAGAAAAAAGCTATTTAGTTTAATGAGGCTTATTGTAAATATGTTCATTTTTGACATTGGGGTGTTTTTAGATCTATGTAGAGAAAATAAACGGGAAATCATTACAGCAGAAAATAAAGTTATGATTCAAAACTACAAAATGTAATAAATGTATTTATTATTTTTCATGAACAGACCTGAGATCAGAGAGATGTACCCAAACAAATTCATTCAGCGTGGAGACACAGAACGGTTTTACATCCTAAACACACTCTTCAACTTACCTGGTAAGTAAATTAATTAACACAAAAAGTATCATTGTCTTCTTATTAAAACTTGAGGCTGTCCATTTTAATATTATATAAGTATTTCAATTATTTGAGTGAAAATCAACTGGATCAGCACTTTATTAGATTTTAAGAGTTAATAGTATTATAAAGGTTTGATGCATTTTTTATTTAAAATAATGGTGTGTATTTTGTAGCTGCTGTAGAATTGTGTTTTGGATGTATGTGTTTTGTTTAGTTTTCTCTAAAAATAGACGAGTTCTGAAGGAATTATGAATGTAAGTTATCTGAATGAAAAACAAGGTTTAGGTTTAAACCTCATAACTCCTACTTTAAATGATTGGATTAAAAACCGTTCTCTGTGCACTTCTATATGCACATCTTCCAGACCCCTTTTTATTTCATTAGCTTTAGCTTTAGCTGAGATGTAGCTGTACATCTGCTTCACTGTTCACAGAAATCAGCACCAGCTCAAAAAGGTTTGCTTAGTCTTCTTTCTGAAGGGTTAATATAAAGCATAAAGACATTGGAGAAGAAATGAGGAAGAACAAGAGCATCTGATTTAAAACAATCACCAAAGCTTTTGTTGAAGTTTGCTCACTGAGGCGAAATAAAGATTTGGTTTATTGTTTCTTAATGTTTTATTTACATTCCCATAGAAACCTATCTTTTTGCTTGCCTGGTGGATTTCTTCAGTAATTGCTCCAGATACTCGAGGTACGTCACATTTGTTGCTACCTAAAATGTTAAAATGGTCTGTCATGAAATGTCGTTGTAATTATAGTCATAGGGGAAAAAAGCCCACACTGTTTTATTTTTAAAGTTTTATGTATCTTTACAAAATAAACATATGGTCTTTAACAGGTTCTAAAATTATTCCAGTCTAACCTTAAATGTTCAAAAACACAACCGATTCCATCATGTCATTATTAATTAAACCAAATAGAAAAATGGAAGCACTAAGCCCATCCATGATTCATCAGCATATGAATATTTTTTAGCATCAATAATGACAAAAACACCATTCTCTGAATAATTTTATCGGTCTTTTACATTGCTGTGGATGAATTTTGTCCCACCACAGCACTTCAGTCAGTTGAGGTCTGGACTTTGAATCGTTGCAACACTTGAATTTCTTGCTTTTTTCATCATTCTGTTGTAGATTTGTGCATTTGGATTATTGTATATTTTCAACCAGGATTCAGCTGTTGGACCAATGGCCTCATGTTTTACTTTAGAGCCTGTTGGTCTACACAGCAGTGGTGTCCAAAGTCAGTCCTCAAGGGCCAGTGTCCTGCATGTTTTAGGTGCTGCCCTGGTTCAACGCAGCTGAACCTAAGGAGTGCTTAATTAGTAGGCCTCCTCAGTTTGCCATCAAGGTCTGCAGAAGCCTACTTATTAGGCACTCCTTAGGTTCAGCTGTGTTTAAGTAAAAGTAAGTAAGTAAGTAAGTAAGTAAGTATGTAAGTATGTAAGTAAGTAAGTAAACTTTATATCTATAGCACCTTTCACAGACAAACATCACAAAGTGCTTCACAGAAAGCAAAAATAATTAAAAACAATAAAACAGATCACAGATTTAAAAACAACAATTAAAACACATTAAGAAGCACTTAAGTAAAAGCCTGTCTGAATAAAAATGTCTTAAGATGTTTCTTGAACCAGGGCAGCACCTAAAACATACAGGACACCGACCCTTGAGGACCGACTTTGGACACCACTGGTCTACAGAGAAGTTTTTGTTGAAGTCAAAAACTGAAGGGTGTTCAGGTCCTGTGGCTGCTAAACAAGCCTGAATCATCATCATCCCTCCACCATCTTGCTGTGTCTGGTTTTCACCATTCATAGTAGTGAGTTATAAACAAACATGTTCATCTGTCCAAACAACAGTGTTTGAATGATGGACTCCAAATAGATTGGAAAAAAAACCTCACACTCTGATCATGGTAATTAAATGTGTTTGATCTGCAACACTTGGTTGAGACTTAAATGCTTTGGAAGAAGAAATAAAGGACTTACTGTAGTTTTCTTTTTACACATATTTTTCAATTAATATTTGCTTACTAAAAAGTGACATAATGGAAACTGTTGCATGTTAGACACCATAAAATAGAGCTGGTAAGGGACAGACCATCATAGTTATGTCCTGTTACATAAAACTAGAGTTGACGGGTGTATACTTGATTTCTCCTTGACTTCATGTCCGCTTGACGATGACTCTAAGGTTTCAACCATTTAAACTCTGCAGCCGTGAAACTGGCTTCAAAGATGGAGACCTGTTCATGTCATACAAGAGCATGTTCCAGGATGTGCGAGATGCGGTGGACTGGGTTCACTTCAAGGTAAAAAAAAAAGGTTTTCTTTGCATACAGCTGCTTTGATTTCCTGTTTTGTTACATTCCTCAGCCTCTACTCATTATGTTTTCATAGGGTTCCTTAAAAGAAAAGACTGTGGAAAACCTGGAGAAGTATGTGGTAAAAGATGTAAGTCAAGCAGAATAGTTTATACTTGTACATAAGTACAGCTACATCATTTGTTTTACTTTATATTTTTATTTATTGTTGTTTTTCTCATCAAGGCAAAGCTTCCTCTTCTCCTCAGTCGTATGAATGAAGTTGCCAAAGTTTTTCTGGCCACAAACAGTGATTATAAATATACTGAGGTAAGATTAAACTTCTTTAAACTGTCCTCAAAGCAAACTACAGCCTACCTACTATATACAGTGGGGAAAATAAGTATTTAGTCAGTCACCAATTGTGCAAGTTCTCCCACTTAAAAAGATGAGAGAGGCCTGTAATTGACATCATAGGTAGACCTCAACTATGAGAGACAAAATGTGAAAAAAAATTTGAGAAAATCATTTTGTCTGACTTTTAAATAATTTTTTTGCAAATAATGGTGGAAAATAAGTATTTGGTCACCTACAAACAAGCAAGATTTCTGGCTGTCACAGACCTGTAACTTCTTTTTTAGGAGGCTCCTCTTTCCCCCACTCATTACCTGTATTAATGGCACCTGTTTGAAGTCGTTAACAGTATAAAAACCTGCCCACAACCTCAAACAGTCACACTCCAAACTCCACTATGGTGAAGACGAAAGAGCTGTCGGAGGACACCAGAAACCGAATTGTAGACCTGCACCAGGCTGGGAAGACTGAATCTGCAATAGGCAAGCAGCTTGGTGTGAAGAAATCTACTGTGGGAGCGATAATCAGAAAATGGAAGACATACAAGACCACTACTAATCTCCCTCGATCTGGGGCTCCACGCAAGATCTCAGCCCGTGGGGTCAAAATGATCACAGGAACGGTGAGGAAAAATCCCAGAACCACAAGGGGGGATCTAGTGAKTGACCTGCAGAAAGCTGGGACCAATGTTACAAAGGCTACCATCAGCAACACACTACGACGCCAGGGACTCAGATCTTGCAGTGCCAGACGTGTCCCCCTGCTTAAGCCAGTCCATATCCAGGCACGTCTGAAGTTTGCTAGAGAGCATTTGGATGTTCCAGAACAGTATTGGGAGAATGTCATATGGTCAGATGAAACCAAAGTAGAACTATATGGTAAAAACACAACTCGTCGTGTTTGGAGGAAAGTGAATGCGGAGTTGCATCCAAAGAACACCATACCAACTGTGAAGCATGGGGGTGGCAACAACATGCTTTGGGGCTGTTTCTCTGCAAAGGGACCAGGACGACTGGTCCGTGTACATGAAAGAATGAATGGGGCCATGTATTGTGAGATTTTGGGTGCAAACCTCCTTCCATCAGCAAGGGCAATGAAGATGAAACGTGGCTGGGTCTTTCAGCATGACAATGATCCCAAGCACACTGCCAGGGCAACAAAGGAGTGGCTTCGTAAGAAACATTTCAAAGTCCTGGAGTGGCCTAGCCAGTCTCCCGATCTCAACCCCATCGAAAACCTTTGGAGGGAGTTGAAAGTCCATGTTGCCCGCCGACAGCCCCAAAACATCACTGCTCTAGAGGAGATCTGCATGGAGGAATGGGCCAACATACCAGCAACAGTGTGTGCCAACCTTGTGAAGACTTACAGAAAACGTTTGACCTCTGTCATTGCCAACAAAGGATATACAACAAAGTATTGAGATGAACTTTTGTTATTGACCAAATACTTATTTTCCACCATTATTTGCAAAAAAATTATTTAAAAGTCAGACAAAAGGATTTTCTCAAATTTTTTTTCACATTTTGTCTCTCATAATTGAGGTCTACCTATGATGTCAATTACAGGCCTCTCTCATCTTTTTAAGTGGGAGAACTTGCACAATTGGTGACTGACTAAATACTTATTTTCCCCACTGTATGTAAGTGTGTATGTACCTGTTTTTGTCACCTTTTTGACAATAAATGAGATTTATTGCAGAAGGAAAATTGATGATGCACAGAAACTTTGTATTTAATCACAAAGAGAATTGCCAAACTTACTTAATTTATCTTGTTTTGCAAATCACCTGAGGTAGACGTCTGTGAACATGAAACTCCATGTTAGCATAGCTGAGTTTTGCTCCACAGCTCTTTTGCTCACTTCATTTCTGGAAACTCACATCTCTGCGGGACATGGGCAGCTCTGTCTGATTTATGACAGATCTGCATAAAGACAGAGTGGTCTGCAACAATTGGACAGAACTGTTTAATGAAAAAGCTGTCTGAATCATTTATTAAATTGCTCATTAACACAGAAAGCTAATCAGCCAATCACAAGGCAGCAATGCAATGCCTTTAAATGTGGATGGAGAGAAAGTCAAACATGTGGTGAGGACATGTTGAAGTTTAAACTGGGCATCAAAACAGGGAATAAAAAAGATTTTGATATTTTAAATGTGGTGAGGTTGAGTTTTTCAGAAACTGCTGATCTACTTTTTCACACAAACGTCTCTAGTTTAGAGAATGGTCCAAATAAAAACAGAAAATATCCAGTGAGCAGTATTTATGTAGATAGAAAAGCCTTTGTAATGTCTGAGGTTAAGCAGGATTAGAAAACTCTTGATAAAGGACATTTACCAGACTACAGACCCTTTGTCCTCTTTTTGATGGTGATGGACCCCCTAGTGAAACTCAGACAAATGGTCACATCATGGAATTGCAACAAGTTATCTGAGACACTACTACACATAAATGGATAATTGAAAAACTTGGGTGTAGGCGCATATTTACTTTTGTCAATGTATTTTTGCTGTTCTTAAAATATTTATTCCTGCTTTATTGCAGAAAATCATGACCTACCTGTTTGACTTTCCTCATGGTCCAAAGGTAAGACTGAAGTCTTTGTCAAGTTTGTCAAAAACGTGCATAGATAAAAATTTAACAAATATGTATGACTGAGTAAGACCAAATGTGGAACAGATATTTCTGTTCCATTTTAGGGTTATATTGTACTGTGTATTGTATTGTACTGTGTATTTGTAATACTAAGTATTGATAGTCTGTGCGTACTATCTGCAGCCGGGCACACCCCACCGACCCTGGAAGTCTTACTTTGACCTGATTCTGGTGGACGCTCGCAAGCCTGTGTTTTTTGGAGAGGGAACGGTTCTGCGACAGGTTGACACTGTAAGTGTGTGATATATATAAATAACTTAATAATTATTGATTATTGAACTGTTGTTTAATAAACAGACACAACTGAGCTGATGGTTTTGAAATTGTTTCTGGAAAAAAAAATTATGGGGGAAATGATCAATGGAAATAACACCTCAGTGTTGCTTTCAGACAACTGGTCGGCTGAAGATCGGCACATACACTGGACCTCTCCAGCATGGTATTGTTTATTCTGGAGGTAAATAATAAACTCAGATACCATTATTTGTGCCAAAATAAGGTGGGCATGATTTTATGTTTGGAGAGTGGGGTGGGGTGTTTTATGTATTTTTTTAATTGCAAAATGTTTTATTTTATATTATTTTTAGTTTTCTGTTCTTTTTTTCATCTCTTATTTCTATTTTACTGTTGGATGTTGTTTAGTTTTTTTTTGTTTGATGGGATTACAGATGTAAATTAGCCTTTGGCTAAATCTGCTGCAATGCATCAAATTATGTTTTAATTGCACACTGTCCTGCCTGCACAAATAAAATCATTCATTCATTCAGTCATTCATTCATTCATAAATGGTAAATAAGCTCTAAATCTCCATTTAAACTAATTATTTTGAGAGAATTTGAGATTTTTTAGTTTTGTTTTTTGCATAATATATGCCGTACATATTCATTAATTGAAACTTAAATAATGGAAGGTTTATGACCTAAAGAAACTGAAAGAAATATTTCTTTGAAACTGCGTTAGGTAAAAAATAGGATATTTGTGATGAGTATGCAGCTGTTTCTAACTAAAACTGTAGATTTTATTGTTATAAAAGTATTGAAGACATTTAGATCTGAATAGGATGAGAAACAGTTGAGTTAAAAGTTAATTCTCCAGTCCAGAAAGTTGCACATCATAATTCTAATTGCTTTATGGTTTTGTTGGTTCATTGAAAGAAAATCTTCAAAACATCTTTTGAAAAAGTCCGTGTTTTCCAGGTTCCTCAGACATCGTCTGCGACTTGCTGGGTGCTAAAGGAAAGGACATCATCTACATCGGAGACCACATTTTTGGTGACATCCTCAAATCCAAGAAGCGTCAGGGCTGGAGGACTTTCCTGGTCATACCTGAACTGGCCCAGGAGCTGCATGTCTGGACCGACAAGAGCTGTGAGAAGGAATTCACCAACACTAACACACAGCACCAGTAAAATGTTGCTCATTTTAAATAAATACAGTCATGACTGTACCTCATATAAATCATCCCCTCCAGAGAGGTTCAGCAGCTTCTGTCAGAATCACATGATCTGTGTTTTATTTCTCATCTTGTGCAACAAGCTTCCTTTGTAGGGAATGATGTATGAATGTATGATGCAAAACTTATACATAAAGTTTGGAGGCTGTATTATACACAAGAGTAAATATTGACCAATGTTTTTCCATCGTGCTCCTACAATAATTTCAATATTGTTTCATATATAACTGAAATATTGTGTCACGGGGGACAAATCACAACACCGGCGTCTGAGGAAGAAAACTTTTTTTTGTTAACCATAGAGATTGACTGAAGGTGTGGATGTCAGTTGCATGTTTTCGTGCTAATCGGACCAGAAGAGCTGCTCCTTGCAGCTGTCTAAAATAATCTGGCCCACCAGAGGGCACAACACAAAGGCTGAACATTTCTGAAGTCTGAATGAATCAAGGGTAGCATTTTACATGAAGATTAGCTTCTTTATGCTTTTTAAGCTAAAAATATGAGTTTGTTATATAGCCAAAAGTGCATAAACGTGGTAGCTTTTTCATGCTTGGCAATAGGCTGTACATATCATTGAGACACATAAAAGAGTGGTTCAGGGAGCACGAGACATCATTTTCACACATGGATTGGCTCCACAGAGTCCAGTGAGATTCTCTGGGATGTGCTGAAGAAGGCTTTGTGCGGCAGTCAGACTCTACCATCGTCAATGCAAGATCTTGGTGAAACATTAATGCAACACTGGATGGAAATAAAGCTTGTGACATTGAAGTGTATTGAATCAATGTCACAGTGGATGCGTGCTGTAATGAAGATGATGATGCCTTTATTGTCATTGTACAGAGCACAATGAAATTACATTTAAGAACACCCATTCAATAGACACACATGACAAAAACATGGGGGAACAGGTCATGCGGTAACGAGCAGGGGTCGCGCTACCTTTAAAAAGAAAAACGAAAGAAACACACAAGGATAGATGAGGAAAAAACAAAACATATTATATCAATGAAAAATGATACACTGTGGTGTTTATAGAAAAATAAATCAAAGCTAAAGGCAGTGCAATGAAATATTAGAGCAGGGCTACTCAACTAAATTGCTCCTTGGGCCACAGTTACTGCAGGTCAACAGCTCAGGAGCCGAACATCCAGCAATTAAAGTTATTATGTAAATAAACCAAGTATTACAAAGATCTGTTATCTTTGTAATAGTTTATTTTGCTGCATTTAATCATGAATACAACATACAGAACCCTATAAAAGTATTGATAATTCAGCAATAGCAAAAACAAAAAGAACACATTATGCCTCATATTTGACACAAATAATAATTTGACATCTCTGATTTGCCAAATTTTTAAACCAATTTTATTTTCACTTTCATAGTTCTGTCTTCAATTGCTTGTAGTTTTAACTGTCTTGACTGTGCGTAGAAATGGTTTTTACCAGCTTGTAGCCAAGGTTCTGACTTTTCTGTAGATACCAAACATGTCCATGTGTAGCTAAAAGAACTTAGAGTAATTAAAGTAGAAAACCAGGGATTTAGGCTTAAGAGATGAAAGAACCAATTGGCGGGCTGAACTTTGGTCCGGCCCGCGGGCCGCCAATTGAATAGCCCTGTATTAGATTGTGTGACTGTTTTTTAAATTTATTTATTTATTTATTTATTTATTTTGGCCAGTCAGAGTATCTACAACAATATGTTATGCTAAATTCATATTGGTATGGCAAATTGCATCCACTAAGCCAAAGTAAACAATCTTGTTACCATCACTGCCCAGACTTTACTCTGCTTTTAGTAAATACAAATGATGAATGGTTCACACTTACACAGTGCTTTTTAACTTCATTCAATGTCACACAAAGAGTCACACAACGTGTTTTACTGCACTTATTTACACAAACACTCAGTGTTTCTGTTTCATACATTCCACTTTATTTATGTTAATATTTATTTTAAACACAGTGGGGCAATGAAGTTCAGAGCTCAACCTGACTGAAGTGGGACCTTAAAAAATGTACATTAATTAATTCTCACAAATGTCAAATAAAATAAAATTGCAGCTGTTAAAGAGTAGACTGATGAGCTCATGCAGAAGATGATAACCTGAAGCTATTAGTAAGCTATTATTGTAAGCTAAAAGTGGCTCGAAATAAAAAAAGGTATTAAATAATGGGAGAAACTTAGTATCTACACACTGTTCATTTGACGTTAGTCTTTGCTACAAATATAATAGATATTACTGAGTTCTATGTTGTCTTGTTTTATGTGAACCTAGAATTGTTGATGTTTACAAATACTTAAAAGAGCATAGACATTTTTTAATAATTCTGTTTTATAAATGTTTGACTGGTACTGTGAATGTCCTTTTGTCTTTTTTCACATTTTTTATTAAAAACCTGTTAGATGGCACAAAAAGCTGATTTACTGATGTAGCTTTGTGTTGTTGTTTTTTGTAGCCATTTTTGAGGAACTTCAGTCACTGGAATGCTTTCTGGCAGAGTTGTACAAGTGAGTTAATCTTTTTTAAAAGCAGCTACTAATGTGTAAGGAATTTGTGCAAAATGAACTTTATTTATATTAAAGATATTCTTGTTTCTTGACATGTAATTTGTCCAATAAAAAAAAGCTAAAACATTAGAACAGCAAATGAAAACATGAAGAAGCTGAACATACAGTACATTACATTCAGCCTGAAAACAAAACTCAAATGTTTGAGTCGATGGTTTAAATTAATAAAACCTGAAGAGCTTTTGCTATATAAACATACTCTCTTACCTTCAGGCATCTGGACAGCAGCAGCAATGAGAGGCCTGACATCAGCTCTCTGCAGAGACGTATCAAGGTAAACTTTTCATTTGATCCTTTTTTTTCTGAATGGTTTTCTTTGTACTTGTTTAAACTGTTCTTTTCTATAAAAAATGTTTTATTGCACACACAGTAACAAGTGTCTTAAATCTGTAAATGACCCAAAGAAAGCTAACTTTATACTCTGTCGTCACTGGTCCAGTTTAAAAGTGTTTTTTTCCAAGGGACTGAAGAGACGTTATGATGTATGATGCTTGACCCAAAGTGGCTTTTACAAAATCACTGTAAACATTGGTAAAACTTTTTTTTTTTTTTTTTGGTGTTGTGTCCTGTCCAGAAAGTGACTCATGACATGGACATGTGTTACGGCATGATGGGAAGTCTGTTTCGCAGTGGATCTCGACAGACTCTGTTTGCTTCCCAGGCCATGCGCTACGCTGACCTGTATGCAGCTTCTTTCATCAACCTGCTCTACTACCCCTTTAGCTACCTGTTCAGGGCTGCACATGTGCTGGTAAGTATTGTTTGCTTAAAAATGTGTCTAGTAGCAAGAACACCGAAACAACAGGGTGAGTCGAAAGTTACAGGACACCCTTTTGTTTCAGAAACAAAAGGAAAAATGAAAAACCTTTTTCTTTACATCGTTTGAAGCAACTAATGTTTTTTTTTTCACACGAGTTTACCTGAACAAGAAGAGTAGCGAGCTACCATTAGCTTACCGTTCTCTGTCGTGCTGCCCTCTCTTCTTCAGCGTCATACTGCTGGGTGGTCCAGTTTAACGTTCTGTACTTTTCCTTCAAGTTTGGTGTAGTCCGTTATGGAAACAAAACAATATAAGATTCATGCTTGTTTAATATGATGATCAGTGCAAACACAACCAGGCCCGGGGTAGAATTGGTCCAGGCCGACTGGAACCAGGACGGCAAGCTCATATTTGTTTGGTCCTGCGCCTTCAGCACCAGGGACAGCACACTGAACACAATAAATATCTCACAACATTTCTATTTGTTATTGCAACTTCCTGTGTTGATGACTTTGGAACACCAAGTGATATTGCTACATGACCACCTTCCAAGTGGAAAATTTTGACTTGGATTAACCTTTTGAGCCCCATACCCCCGTTACCAGGGGCAAAACAACTTTTTCAGTTTTCTATTGCTTATAACTTCTTTTAACGTAAGATCTGTAAGTTGAACCTTGACATGTTTGGTATCAATAGAAACTTGGCTAAAAGTTCATGGAAACTATTTTTACATTCACCAAACACTGTTCAAACGTCAAGCAGTTGAATCAGAAAGTAAACAAACTGTACAAAATGGCATCATTGCAAATCTGTAAATACATTACAACAAATCTGTAAAGGAAAATTTTTGACATTTTTTTAAAGGAAGTCAAAGTAGATAACTAAATATGTTGTAAAGTGTGTTGAAAGGTTTTTTTTTTACTTGATTTTGAGTGAATATGGTCCAACTGAAGTCAAAATATTTTCTCATTATTTTGTATAATACGTATGGCGACAAATAAATTTTTTGATAACTTTTCAAAAGAACAAATATTCAATAACAAGTCTTTTCAGGCAGGTAAGAAAAAAATAAATAACTTTTAGATGTAAAAACTTCAGATTTCTTAACATTTATTAATGCTACCCTCATGGTCTGTCCTGTGCAGAATGACAAAATACAAAATTGTTTCTTTACTAAAACCTCTGTAACTTTGCTCCAGTTCATTTTAGCTGCATGAATCTTTGCACAGGTAATGTCCACAAGTGGATTTATGGTTTCCGAGAGTTTTTTAGCCTGATTCATTATGGTTTTAAATGGGTTAAATACTGTATAATGAAAAAATGATTCAGGTGAGAGTGGGAAAAAATGTTTTTAATTATGTTCCATCCCCAATATCTCTAAAACCACAGCAGCTGTTTTAGTACTTACACTTCTGATAAAATCTCCCAAGTGTTGCTTTATTTTGATAGCAAGATTATTTAAGTAGAGTTTGTAAATGCTGAGATACACTCATTTCTGGATGGTATTTTGAGAAAAAACTTAAGAAAACCATTTGGGGCATTAGAGGTTAAAAATTTTGCCTTAAAAATGGCAGCCATGTTTTGGACATAGCCTAAAATATCAGTCCCCTCACCCGTTACCTGCTGGAGTATTCAGGTATTTCATTTTCCCTTTTGTTTCTGAAATAAAATGGTGTCCTGAGACTTTTGACTCACTCTGTAGCGTTTCTTTGTTTTCCCCGATAATTCATTAAATAAAAATAAGTTTGTCAAACACATTCAGGATTTCCTCTCCTTCTAGATGCCTCATGAGTCGACAGTGGAGCACTCTCACGTCAACGTCATCGACATCGAGTCGCCGCTCGCCACGCGGAACCGGCGTGACGAGAACTTTAGGGAGATGGAGAGTAAACGGCACCTGCTGACCCGATCCGTCAGCGAGATCCAACCCCCTCATCTATTCCCTCAGCCTCCGCAGGAGATCACCCACTGCCACGACGAGGATGACGACGAGGAAGAGGAGGAGTAATTGAGTGTTTTTCTCACATCCAGCAGATTCTGTTTGCACGTTTGAAACGTATCAGAAGTGGTTCGATAGAAGACAGCTGGACTAAGACAAGTCGTCCAGTCTCATCCTGTTGAACCACTTCAGATCGTTGTGCTGGATGTGTCCAATCCTGGTTCTGTAGGGCCTCGATCCTGCACGTTTTAGATTTTCCTCTGCTTTGACACACCTGCTTTGAACAAACGAATGATTCAGCAGAAAGTGAAGTCCTGCTGAAGAGCAGGGAAACACCTCATTTTCTAAACACCAATGTTTAAAGCCTATTAAACAGATACTGTTCTTGATTAGTGGAATCTGCTACTGAAGCTGGCCTGCTGTATATCACCTGGTAAAGATTATAAAATTAGTTGTAAAAAAAATCAATACGGTACAATAAATCAGCAGAGAAAATGGAAGGGAGAAACATGTTCAAATGAAATTGGTAGTTTTTTTAATAGTTCAGTCATCAGTCAGAGCTTTATGTGTTTTGTCTTATTTCTCTACTAAAGCCACGATCTCACCGGGCTGCGACTGTTGGTAAAGGATATTTGTGAAGGAGTCTAAAAACGTTTCTGTTCTTCCCAAATTGATCACACAGGTCACCGAGGCTCATAGTTTTATTGATTGTTTTTAAAAGTTGGTGACAAATTTTCTCTCAAAGTAGACTCGGAATTGCTGCGGGTGTCTCAAACTCATTTTGAACACTTCTGAACTCCGTTTTTATAATTCTAGCGCACTGCAGGTGTGATTTTAACCTGCAGAGACAGCCCTAAAAAAATCATGATGATAAAAAAAAATGTTTTGTCAAACACTGTACAGTGTGGTCAGAGAAATATGTTGTGCAGGAATGCAGTTCTGTAAGCCTGGAAATAGACAATATCCAAAAATTTGGTCTGTAAAACGTGGCTGCTGGGCTCAGTGGTTAAAACTGCAACACAATGGGCCTCATACAAGAACATGTTCATATTCTTATCCTAAATTTCTCTTACTTTTGTTCGTACAAAGGGTTCGTACGAACATGTCACGTCAGATTCAACAAACTCTTTTATCTTCAGTAAAAAGTGTGTAAATGAGCTGCATGAATTCCACCTGTTCGTATCCAGCTGCTCGTGCACGCGAGAGGAGATTAGCATAATTACCACCCCAAAAACACCATATAAGGCTATGTTTCCTGCCTCAGATACAAGGAAGTGTCCATTCATGAAAAAGGCAGCGAAAAGTAAAAAGAAGAACTTTACGAGTTCAGAGATTGAAGTCCTGGGGCCTCATGTATCAAACGG